GAGAAGGGAATTTGTGAAGAGAGAGGTCGCCATGCTTCTTTCTATCAAGCACATCAAGGAGGTGAAATACCCCTCATGGTTGGCGAACGTAGTTCTCGCACAGAAACCGCCCTCATTCCGTATGTGCGTGGACTACACGGATCTCAACAAGGCATGTCCCATGGACCCCTTTCCTCTGCCCAATATCGATCAACTTGTAGATGAGACCGCGAGGTGTGAAATCATGTCATTCCTCGACGCATTCCGCGGGTATCATCAGATCTTCATGCATGAGGAAGACGCCGAAAAGACAGCCTTCATGACTCCCGAGGGCATCTTCTGCTACCTAGTGATGGCCTTCGGCCTAAAGAACTCAGGGGCCACTTACACCCGGATGGTGGCCCGAGTCTTTCAGGCCGTCCTAGGGCGCACCATGGAGGCCTATGTTGACGACATGATCGTCAAAAGCAAACAATCTTCCAGCCATGCCGACGACCTCCGGGAAATCTTCGCCATCATGCAAAAGTTCAACCTTCAGCTAAACCCGAAGAAGTGCACCTTCGGCGTCCAAGGGGGCAAATTCTTAGGCTACATGGTGAGCCGAAGGGGTATTGAGGCCAATCCCGAGAAGATCCAGGCCATCATCAACATGGAGCCCCCACGCAATGTGAAGGAAGTTCAACGGTTGACGGGCCGCCTGGCAGCCCTCAACCGCTTTCTATCTAAATCAGCGGAGAAGTCCCTACCCTTCTTCCAGATCATGAGGAAGACGGCTGGCTTTCAATGGACTCCAGAATGCCAGGGGGCTTTCGACGAGCTCAAACGATATCTATCTTCACCCCCTGTGCTCTCCAAACCAAAGGCAGGGGAGACCCTCTATCTCTACCTTGGGGTCAGCCCGGCAGCCATCAGCTCCGTGCTCATCCGGGAGGAAGACGGCATCCAACATGCCATCTTCTATGTAAGCAAGACCCTAAGGGAGGCCGAGCTCATGTACTCTCCTGTGGAAAAAACGGTGTTAGCCATCGTTTGGACCGTCAAGAAGTTGGGCCACTACTTCCAGGCTCACCCGGTTCAGGTCCTCACTCATCAACCCCTCGGCACCCTCATGAGGAGCCCCACCAGCTCCTCCCGCATGGTGAAATGGGCTATCTTCTTAAGCCAGTACAACATTGACATCCGTCCGAGGCCTGCCATCAAGGGCCAAGCCCTGGCGGACTTTGTGACGGAGTGTACCGCGAGGGCAGCCACGGACGGGGAGCCCTCGGCTACCCTGGACGACTGGTGGACCCTCTACACCGACGGCTCCTCCGCAACTAAAGCATGCGGGGGAGGGGTAGTCCTCGTTACTCCTGAGGGCTTCAAGGCCTACTATGCAATCCGCTTCTCCTTCAGAGTCTCCAACAACGAGGCCGAGTATGAGGCCCTCCTATGTGGCCTTCGGCTGGCTGCTAACATGAAGGCTCGGCAGATCCATATCAAATGCGACTCCAAGTTGGTCGTTGGCCAAATCTCCGAGGAGTATGAGGCCAAGGAGGGAAGAATGAAACAGTACAAGGAGGCGGCCAACGAGTTGCTTAAGGTATTTGAGGCACACTCTCTCACTCAAATACCGAGGGCTCAGAACTCCGAGGCCGACATACTATCTAAGCTCTCGACCGACTCCCCCGAGCACATCTCCAAGATTGCTAAAATTGAGGAACTCAGTCTCTCAAGTATCCATGCAAGCCCCGTCATGAACATACAACAACGCCAAGAGGACTGGATCTCGGATATCATCACCTTCATCTCCACAGGGCAGCTACCCGAGAATGAGACCCGCGCTAAACTAGCAAAGCTGAGGGCTCCTAGCTACACCATCGAAGACGGAAGACTCTACAAACGGTCTTACAACGGCACGCTACTTCGGTGCCTTCATCAAGATGAAGCCGAGGTCGCAATGGAGGAAGTGCATAGTGGCACTTGCTGAGCTCACCAGGGACCCTTCTCCATGTCCCGAAGGCTCATTCTCCAGGGCTACTTCTGGCCAACCATGGCCAGAGATTGTGCTGACCTTGCCCGAAGGTGCACCGCATGCCAACATTTCCAGAAAGCCCCCGGCAGGCCAGCGGTCAACTATGCCCCCATCAGCACATCCGTCCCCTTTTCTCGATGGGGGATAGACCTTGTGGGCCCTCTGCCGAGGGGGTACCTCCAACAACAGGTACATCATTGTGGCCATCGACTACTTTACCAAGTGGGTGGGTGGAGGTTGAGCCCCTCGCCAGTATCACAGAGGCGAAGTGCCGTCACTTCGTCCTCAAGAACATCCTCACAAGGTTTGGCGTCCCCCAGCAGATCATCTCCGACAACGGAACACAATTTGAGGCAGCCCCCTTTTGTGCCCTTCTGGAGGCATGGGGCATCAAACACACCTTCTCCTTCGTTGCCTACCCTCAAGGAAACGGGCAAGTAGAGAACGCCAACCGGACCTTGCTCGAGGGCCTCAAAAAGAAGCTGGAGGCCGAGGGCGGTGGCTGGGTAGAAGAACTCCACAACATCCTTTGGGCCTACCGCACCACCCCTCGGCGAGCAACAGGTGAAACACCTTTCTCCCTCTGCTACGGGTTTGAAGCCAAAGCTCCTACAGAAGTCACCTTTCCCACCCGGAGGGTGATCCAATATGACCCCGAGGTCAACGACAGCAACATGGCCCTCGACCTCCACCTCCTTTCAGAACGCCGGGAGCAAGCCTTCATTCGGGCAGAGAACTACCGAAGGCAAGTCAAAAGCTACATCGACGCCAAGGTTCGCACCAGAGAATTCCAAGTGGGGGACTATGTCCTCCGGAGGAGGGAAGCCAGCCAACCGACCGAGGGAGGCAAAATAGCACCAAAATTCGAAGGTCCCTACATCATTGCAGCCATCATCAAACCCGGGACTTACAAGCTCAAACGCCCCAACGGGAAAGAGGTCCGTAGGCACTGGAATATACACCACTTAGTTAAATTTTATCAATAATGTAAGAGCGGCCAAGCCCTCATAACTAGTGAATGTACAATCCTATGGCCCAAGGCCTCCAATTTTGAAGAATGAAGACACATTCAAGACACCAAGAACAACCGCAAAACACTTATGAGCGGCCCAACCCTCATATCAACTACAGGCCCCAGGCCTCACCACGAGAAGAACCCCCTCCGGCACCAAGTGCCGAGGGCGGACACCATCAACACCTTCAACAACAGTGAAAACACCAAGTGTTTCAAACAAGACCCCTCGGTACCAAGTACCGAAGGTGGGGACTCCCATCACCGGCAACAGGAAACACCAAGTGTTTCATTTCAAGACCCTTCGGCACGCAGTGCCGGGAGTACACATCTCCACCATCAACATCAAAAAGAAGAACACCAAGTGTTCCTACAGAAGACCCCTCGGTACCAAGTACCGGGGGTACACATCTCACCCATCAACGTCAAATAGAAGAAGAACACTAAGTGTTCCTACAGAAGACCCCTCGGTACCAAGTACCGGGGGGCTACATATCGAAACTAACACCAAGTGTTGTTTCTAAAAGCCGTACCCCACGAGGACGCATAAACCGAAGGCGCCACCATCGGTGCCGGCGGCACGTAGTGCCCCCGGCCATTTGCAACTGGTGTGCAAATGAAAACCCTTCCTTGAAACGCTTTCCGCGTCACTACCCCCAGGGTATGACAGGCATGAGAAATGCCCAGGATTCGACTTTCAAAAACGGAACGCTTTCCGCGTCATCACCCCAAGGGTATGTCAGACACGAGAAATGCCCAGGATTCGACTTCCAAACCGAAACGCTCCCCGTGCTACCACCCCAAGGGTGTGGCAGGCCACGGACTATGTCTAGCGCCGAGGGGACGACTTTCAAAAATGAGGCGCTTTCCGCGCCATCCCCCAAGGGGAGGCAGGTTACAGACCACCATATCTTGTGCCCAGGAAACAACCCTCGATCCCCTCGGAACTCGGAAGGTTAACCCGAGGGAGGAGAGCCATTGGTGTATTCTGATGGTCTCCTGATAGGCCCAACCTTACCAAGAAACCAAGTTTCTTGATGCCTTCCCTTCACCACCAACAAAAAAAAAACAGAGGGGGTGAAGGGGAGTAGACTCATAGAGAAATCAATGAGTACAACACTCCAACAAATCACAGCATACCGAGGGCTCCTATGTCCCGAAGGTTACTACTCAACAACACAAAGGGATTGGACTGTCTCAAGTACACTAAACGACTAAGTTCACCTCAAGTAAGTGCCGAGGGCACCTACCATCGGTCATCCATTGCTACCGAGGGGTCCCCCCATCCTGTAAAAGGGGATGCAACTGACTAAGGCAGCTCAAGAACCCTTCAAGTGAATGCCGAGGGCACCTATATCCCACCAGCATTCACTACAACATCAATACCCTACAAATTTTCCTAAGTCTACACTTTTGGAAAACGACAACAGCCGGAGGCTCATATATCACCCAACAACCGAAGGCATCTATTACAAATCATCAAAGGCCAACCAAGGGGGCATATTCCAAAATAATGTCGCCCTCGGAAAATCTCAATGGGAAAACACTACTAACCAAAGGCTACACAAGGAAGCAACACTTAGAAAATTTTCTAAGTCCTGAAGATTGGGCCCTCGGCCTGATCAATATTTCAACTGAGGAACCATGATAGCCGAAGGCTACGAGATGCAACGACACTTAGAAAATTTCCTAAGTCCTACATATTTTTCCCTCGGTCAAACTACTTATACATCAAGGAGAAGGCTATCACCCCGGAGCCGAGGGCTACTTGACACCATGCATTGGGAAGTAAGGCTAAACATGAAGGTTCACCCAATGATCTGAGGGCTCCTATCGGGACCACACGAAGGCTCAACATCTGAGGTCTACTTAGAAAATTTTTGAAGTCCTGAATATTTGCCCCTCGGGCAGACTCCTCACTAACCGAAGGTTCAACATCCACAACACACTTAGAAAAATTTTCTAAGTCCTACATATTTGGCCCTCGGTCAAATATTCACACATCAGGAAGGAGGCTGCCAGCCGAGGGCTTCCAATGGGAGGCTACACTTAGAAAAAATTCTAAGTCCTAACTATTGCTGGGCCGTCGGTTGTATATCCAGCGAGGGGCGCCCAACTACCGAAGGCTAAAAACTGTATTCAAACACTTGGAAGAATATTTCCTAAGTCCTAAGCATACATTCAAAGGAGCAAAGGCATACATTCAAAACGAAACGAAGGCATACATCCAAGGAAAAACACTCGGAGGAAACGAACTATACAGAAAGCCCGAAGGCAAACATTCATGCATTCAGGGAGGAGTTAAAGTATATGTGTTACAATATGGCCGAGGCCGAGAGTACACGAATATTCATTACAAACGAAAAGCAAAGGTATTCAAAAGCTACTAAGTACAAGTGTTGTCTTCTGCCGTGGCCTCCTCGGCGGGCTTCGAAGTGACCTCCTCCCCGATGGCGTCCTCGGCATCACCATCGCCGGATCCCCCCATCATCATGGAGTCATGGATCACGGGCCTCTCTTCGCCCGGGGGGAGGGGGTTTCTCACGTCTGGCTGCAAAGGAGGAAGGCCATACGCTGAGGGATCGAACTCCTCGAGGGAGACTTGGAAGTGTCTGGCCAGCCGCCGATACACAAGGTGCTGAGTGAAGAATTCACCCCCTTGGTAGTAACTATCTCCCTTCTCCGCCATCCAGTCTCCCCCGGGGCCCTTCACCCAGTCGTCTACCGATGACTCTATGACCGAGGCCACCCACTGCCGCCTATCTTCGGCTTTCCAGCCCTCGGCCATGAATACGACGACAACTTCTTCTCGGGCTTTGGCGATGGCCTCGGCCTTAGCTATCTCCGCCTCCTCGGCAGCTTTCTTGGCTGCCCTCTCAGCCTCCTGCGTGGCTTCCTCCGCTGCAACTTTGTCCTCAGCAGCCTTCCGGAGATCTTCCTCCAGCATCGCCATCTGCTTCACGGCCTCGGAGTTCTTCAGGACGAGCTCCTTCATCTCCCGATCCTGCTCCGCCTTCCGGAGGCGCCATTGCTCAAGCCTCCGCGCGTGCTCCCCGAGGGCTACGCAAGCCTGCAGAACAACAGAAAGAGGGATCAGATTAACATGAAAAGAACATTGAAAGTAAAACGCAAAACCTAAGGGAGCAAACTTACAGTTAGCGAAGACTGGAGGATCCTGTTCTCGAGGGCCTCGTCATCGTAAGTGGAGAGGGCAGTCTTGTCCATCACCGAGGTAATCCCCCTCAGGAAAGCTTTCGGCTCCGCCGAGCTGTGTAGAACAGAAGCCCCCGGGGCCAGAGAGAGCTGCAGGATCTCCCGAGGGGGGCTTCTCAGGGGAGGATTGGATTGGGCCATCACCGCAGTATCAACCGGGGGGTCCGAAGAGGGGCGGTCCTCGATGACCACCAAGGGGGCATCCTTGGCGACAGTGCCCCCTGTGCCCCGCTGCTTCTTGGCCGGGGGCTCAACCACCTTGCCCCCCTTCTTCTTCTTCTTTGTGGCCCCCTCCGCCACACCAACGACCCCCTCAGCAGCAGAGGGCTCCGGGACCTCTTTTTGGAAGAAGGCTCCCACGGGCGGTTGGACCGAAGGGTCCTTCTTTTGGGCCTGGGACTTGCCTTTCTTCTTCTTCAGGGCGAAGAGTTTGCCGACATCCATGCTAACTCCTGCAAACACAAACAAATGGGTTAGACCGAAAGAGAAAAGAGCGAAAGAAAAGGAGAGGGGAAGATTCTAAGTACAAAAAAAAGGAAAAAAATAAAAGGGGGGGAGGCCCTCGGAGACTACTTCCTGTCAGCACGGGATACTTCTCATCTGTTTCGCCAAGGAAGCGATATCTGCGGAAGCCGAGGGCAAAGAGCTCCTTGTCAGCAGTGAAGTCCTTGATGGACACTTGCTTCGTGCGGCCCGCCGGGATTTTGGCTATTATCGAGCCATCCTTCTCCAATGCAGCACTTCCAACTTTCGGATGCCTACGGAAGCGATCCCTAAGCTCCATCGGGAATGGGCTCTCGGCGATCCTGACGTAACACCACCTCTCCTTCCAGTCTTTGTTGGACGAGGGCGCTTCCGTGAATAACTTCCACCGAGCCACCTGTTGCAGATTGGCGAACCCCTCGGCGTTCGCATGACCCCCTCGGCAGAGGTTGAGGCTCTGGAAAAACAGGTCCAAGCTGGGGGTCACCCCTCGGGCCCGGCAGAGGTTCAGAAAGCCCGCCACGTAGGAGTGGCTGTTGGGCGTCACCTGGCAGGGGACCAAGCCCACATACCGGAGATATTTCCGAAGGAATGGGTGCAGGGGGAACCGGAGCCCCATTGACACCGACAGGACGTGCACAGCAATGCACCCCTCGGGGGCCCGGGAAAGAACGTCGTCTGGGCCCGGCGCCACCACCACAACCGAGGGCCCCACGTGCAGCTGGGTCACATACATGTCCTCCCTATCAGCCTTCGAGCCAATCTCCAGGGCAGCAGTGTTGAGCCAGGAATACCCCTCGGGCACATCTATGGGTTTCCCCTGATCGGCAGCGACAATTTTCTTCTTGGGTGCAGTTTTTTTCTTCTCCGGTTGGTTCCCGGGGGCCACTCTTATCGGCATCGGGTCTAGGGGTAGAGAGCTCCCTGCCTCACCAGCACCCTGAGGGGGAAGGACGGCCACGGTCACCCTCATCCTCTCCTTTGCTTCCTCCTCCTCTGCAACCTGCATGGCGAGGGCCAGCTCTTCGTCTTCCACCTCCTGCTCGAAGCCCTCGGCTTCAACTTCAGCCAACAGCTCCTTCTGCACTTCTACTGCCATCGCAACATCCTCCTGGGCCGAGGACTGTTCGTTTGAGGACTCCACATCCGAGAGGACTTCATCCTCCATCGAGGGCGCCCCCGAGATGTCTTGAGAATCACTCTGTGAAGACATTGCTATACTACGTCGAGGGTTCGGAGACGCTAAGTACTCTAAGCTACCCACCTAATCTAAGGCCACAAAGACAGCTAGCTAAGAGGTGAAGTGCGAATGGAGAACTGACCTTAGAATCTGATCGAGGGCTGCTGTTTCTCTCTCTAGAAAATTTGGCAGAGCTTCGCTATAAGGATTTTGCACAAGGGGAAGGAAGCCCGACCATGGGTATTTATAGGCGCTGGAATCCGGGCTTGGGCCTGGAAACCGGGCCTCCGGATGGACTGTCATCATTACACGCCGTGTCTTCGCCCAACCGGTGACGCCGCCCACGGACAGCCAACCATCACGCGCCACGTGTACTCCCCCCCAACGGCTATATCCTGACGTTACATATTCCAACGGCTATATTCCCAATGGCTATATTCTGGGAGCCTGTAACACTTGAGATTTAATTTAAAAGGATTAATAGTACTACTCATACCAACAGAGGTGCATCTCCTTTTAAGGGAGCTCATCACCCAAGAACTCCAAAGTTAAGCGTGCTTGCACGGGAGTAGTCTTGGGATGGGTGACCCCCCTGGGAAGTTTCTCAGGGCGCGCACGAGTGAGGACAAAGTGCGCGATAAAGGCTCGTGGTGGTTTGTGGGGACAGTACTAGAGGTCTGGAGTAACTACCTCGGGGCCTGCGGGGCCGGGGTGTTACAAATGGTATCAGAGCAACCCTGCGACAGTGTGCTGATTCGTTGGATATCGGGCGGGCACTTAGCAGGGGAAAAGATTCTGGGATATGATTGAGATTGGTTTATGGGCACAACGAGGACGTTGCGTTCCTAAGTGGGGGTGATTGTAACACTTGAGATTTAATTTAAAAGGATTAATAGTACTACTCATACCAACAGAGGTGCATCTCCTTTTAAGGGAGCTCATCACCCAAGAACTCCAAAGTTAAGCGTGCTTGCACGGGAGTAGTCTTGGGATGGGTGACCCCCCTGGGAAGTTTCTCAGGGCGCGCACGAGTGAGGACAAAGTGCGCGATAAAGGCTCGTGGTGGTTTGTGGGGACAGTACTAGAGGTCTGGAGTAACTACCTCGGGGCCTGCGGGGCCGGGGTGTTACAGAGCCCCCGGATTTTCTTACTTCACTCCACTTCATCAAGGAGAGCCTCCGGGTACACTTACCCAGAGACGCCCCCGGGTTGTGCCCCACACAGCACATAACAGTCGCTTTCGGGATCACTCCTTCAGAAGCCCAAGGCTTCATATCAGGCCACCCCTCGGGGATTCCCCCTCAGCACTGTAAGGGTCGGGTAGCCCCCAGGGAGTATGCCTCATTGACGGATAGCCTACGGCACACAGGTAATGGGAGCCCTCGGATATCCTCATCACCAACTAATCAACAAGCAAGGGACACCCCGGTAACAATTCAACTACTGCCCTCATCCATCACGCCCTCGATCCCTAGATTGAGGGGCTCCCCTTCGGCACCTCCCATGACATCAACGACAAGCCTCCGGCTATTCAACACATGAGCCCTCAGAACAAGGAGAGCCTTCAGCATTACCGTTATTCTCCATTTTGGACCAAGGTTTCACATTTTCGATTCATCGTTGGGGGAATTCGGTGCGCTCTTTTTCCGTCATTAGGATTTTTTCCCACAGGGTTTTTCCTAATGAGGTTTTTAACGAGGCATCCCCCCAAAATGAAACGAAAAGCGTCAGACTTCGGCCCGCAACAGCAACGCAACTACTTCACTCCTTTTCACCACTTTGCAAGTGCCTCAAGGAGTGGGGGACTGGAGGACCCCCTCGGGAAAAATCACAAAAATTACAAACATGACCCCTTAAGTCCCGACATGTGGGTAACTGAGGGGCTGCCCTCGGCAGAATAAACAAACAGCAAACTACCCACGACTCTACGAACTACAAACGAAACAACGGCAGAGGACAAGCACAATTACTCCTTTTCCCTCAAGTACATTTCGACAAAAGGAGTGAGGGACTCCTGATGGAGTATATGGCCCGGGGACCCCCGGCCCACAGACTCCTACTACTCCAAACAAGGCCCAACAGGCCCAGAAGACCCAACAGGCCCAAATCACAGCGCCCAGAGTACCAAGCAGCCCACAATGCGCACCAGGGGCGCCTTCGGCCCCCTGGCCGAGGGCTCTAACTCCCACAGGAGGGCCAAAATAGGAAAACAAGATGACTGGGGAACACGGCGAAAATCACTAGCCCTCGGCACCTGGAGCCCTCGGCACCAAGAGGGTCCCTAGTACTCGGAGCCCTCGGTTAGTCCTCTACAGCCGAGGGCACCTTTCCCGACATGATATCTGCACCACATGCGTACAGATCACCGTACCCTGTACAAACGTCCCATCCAACAGCCGCATTAAATGCGTCCACATGCGGCAGCCAGCGCCAACCAGTTGAGGTGACCCCTCGGCCAATGGGCGCTTGACACGTGTCCCTGTCCGGCATTTATTGCTACTATAAATAGCACCCCATTTCCCCATTTGTAACCACGCTGAAAACGCTCCACACTTTATAATATACTTTCTCTCTCTATATTTACTTGCTCTGACTTCTCTCTTATTACTCCCCATAATAACCCCTCGGATAAGCTACCCCCCGGGTACACTATCCATCAATAGGCATACCCGATCGGGTATGTCAGGGTACCCGGTCGGGTACACGATCTTTAAACCTGAATTAGCCACCCAAAACACCCATTTCATCTTCCCCAAACCTCCAATTTCGAAGTTTCTTTCTCCCATTACTCCCTCAAATCTCCACCAAATCTTTCCAAACCAACGCCAAAATCTTCACCACATTTCCCTCTCCACCCCATATCCATCAACACCACATTTTTCTCCAAAAAAACTCAAGTCCAAAAATAATGCCTTACGCCCTCCCCCAAGTCCGAAATTTGGAACTCAAAATTCAAAGCATCAAGCGAAAATGGCACCAAAGAGAACAAGGGGCGAGAGTATTTCATCTAGAGCACCGGTCAGCCCAGTTATGATGGAGACGAGCACTAGGGACAGTGCTTCGAGTTAAGTGAGGGGGAGTCACTCATCGGTGCGTACTTAAGTTTGATACCTTGTAAACTAGCATTATTTTCTTCGCAAACAAAATAAAATGAAATGCTAGTTAGGTTGAAAACCCAAAAAATGGGCAATCTAAGCAAAAAAGGCTTACAAAAAAATGATGAGTGAGTGGAGAGGTGGAAAAATAAAAGAGATGCTAGGATGAAAACCTGAAAAGGCTCCTAGGCAAAATGAGAGATATGAGATATATATTTGTTTTTACACGACATCATTTAATCTCTTGAAGATGAAAAGAGGAGATGAGCATAGAAGGCCATGAAACCCAAGAAGATATTATTCTTTGAGCTAAACACTCAATGTAAAACTCATATGTTATCCTTGGTGGTCTTTTGCTTTTTCTGGTTAATTGTTGAACTTTTGAGGACTTGGAACTGCTAAAGATGTGACTTTACTCGAGGACGAGTAAAGAAGCTAAGTGTGGGGGAGTTGATATTCATGTAATTTCCGATTGTATGTTTGTACTTTTAACTAGTTTTTATTATTTCTAGTTAGGAAATTACACACTTTTGGTGTAATACTTTATTTTCATATTTATTTGTAATTTGTTTAGATTAAGACTTTTCTGAGCTAAACACGTCAAAGATCATCCAAGGGATCAAGATTGGACCTTAAAAGATCAAGGAAAGTGCAAGGAGGCAAGAAAGATTTCGATTTGGAAAAAATACTCATGTACCCGGTCGGGTATTGCCTATACCCGATCGGGTATTTGCTTGATTCGATTGTCCAAATCAAATCCGGGAACAAATGATCGTGGGAGCAAATTTTCGTAAAGATTCGTCACATACCCGATCGGGTATGCCGACACACTCGACCGGGTATGCCCAGAAAAGTGAATTTCTGGGAAATTTCCTAAGATACCCGGTCGGGTATCCTATATACCCGGTCGGGTATCAGACCCTGCAGCTCCCAAAAGCCTATATATACACCCCTTTCCTTCACAATAAGATCACGAATTCACATATACTTCTTAGCTCAGTTTAGAATAACATTTCTTATATTTTTATAGCATGTTTAGTCTCCAAATGAGGAGCTAAACTTCCATTTCTTGGTGTTGCTCTTGAAGCTTATTGATTATTAAAGTTGTGAGTTATTTTGTTAAACTTCTTCCCTTGAATATTAATTATTAGTTCTTTCCTTAATACTATCTCTATATTAATGTTAGGGAGTGTTGCTAAGATGACAATTAGCTAACATCTTGACATTAGTTATAGTAGTATTTTCTTCCTCTATATTAATGTTGGGGAGTGTTGCTAAGATGACAATTAGTTAACATCTTGATATTAATTATAGTAGGATTCATCTTCTTTAATAATATTCTTCCTTGAATATTAATTAATTCCTATTCATATTTTATATTAATATTTTGAACATTACTTAAAGGATCAACTAGTTTTCTTTCATATATTAATTATTACTAGAAACGATCAACGAACCGATGGTTAATCGTTGATGGTTTCACAAGTAAGTAACTTCGGTTTATTAATGCACGGTCGTGGTTAATAAACTTAAGAGGGATTAATTTTGTTGGTTAAACCGAAACCGTTGTGTTGAGGTTATCAATCTCAATTGATTTCATCAAGGAGTTAGAAAGATTAAATGCTACTATTAAATCGGTATAAGGCGTTGTTCTATATTTGATTAATAGTAAGGGTTATTAATGAACGGTCGTTGTTAATAACTACCCTTGATGAAGTGGAAATACTCCCCGATTGAGTATTCGAGAGGGAATAAGTTATAGATATAACAATGATCGACTAAAATATATCAACAAGTGGAAAGTAGCAATGCCAGGTCCTTTTTATCTTTGAATTAAATCTCATATAGGTCGTTCATCTTAGTTTTTAATTTAATTAAATCATTCATCACCAAAAACCCCCTTTATTTACTAAGTTTCATAAAAAGAGAATTATTCCTTTCCCTGTGGATACGAACTCTACTACGCTATACTACGTATAAGTGTTAGTATTGAATTTATTTTGACGCACCGTGACAAAGTGCTCGTCAGTATGGCAGGCCAAAGACTACGTCTCGTGATGAGGGAACGACTTTCAAAACTGAGGCGCTTTCTGTGCCATCCCCCAAAGGGAGATAGGCAACAGATTATGTCTCGTGCCCAGGAAACGACCCTCGATCCCCTCGGAACTCGGAAGGTTAACCCGAGGGGGGAGCTAATGGTGTATGCTGTTGCCTCCCGATAGGCCAAACCTTACCAAGAAACCAAGTTTCTTGAAGCCTTCCCTTCACTACCAAAAAAAAAAGAAAAAAGTGGGGTGAAGGGGAGTAGACTATCGAGGCCAAACCTTACCAAGAAACCAAGTTTCTTGAAGTTTCTTGAAAACAACGACTCAAGGGATATCGAGGGCATCCACTTTCCGTCCGCCCTTACTACAACATGAATGTCTTACAAAATTTTCCTAAGTCCACACTTTGGAACCCACTATGGCCGAGGGCGAGCACCCACGGACATGATCTTGAATTTCAGCAACCCCCGGCACTACAATCTACACCGGAGGCTAGTACTCACAGGGCTCATTTACCGAAGGCCAAGTGACAAGTGACACATGGGAACTTTTTCTAAGTCCCAAATATTAGGCCCTCGGTCAAATCATCATGCAAGTCAGGGGACCTAATAACCGAGGGCCACACAATGCACACCACTTGGAAAATTTTCTAAGTCCTAAATGGATGGCCCTCGGTGAAATCTCCATGCAGCCAGAGGGGTCACATAACCAAAGGCTCAGTAGTGAAACTACACTTGGAAAAATTTTCTAAGTCCTAAATATTTGGCCCTCGGTCGAATCTCCATGCAGCCAGAGGGGTCACACAATCGAAGGCTCAGTGGTGAAGCTACACTTGGAATATTTTTTCTAAGTCCTAAATGTTAGGCCTTCGGCCATACATCTAGCCAGGCATACATTCACGCACGAAGGAAAAGCAAGGCGGGGAAAGACGAAAGCATACAAAAGAGAATGACAACCGAGGGCAACAGTTGTGAGCAACACTTAGAAAAATATTCTAAGTCCTAAAATTTTGGGCCCTCGGTCAAATCTTGACGGCTGCCCAAGTTCAGAGGGAAGCATCCGCCATGGGCCCAGTACTGAACAAACACTTAGAATGATTTTCTAAGTCCTACATGATTGCCCCCCGGTCAAATCATAATGCAAACATACACGCATACATGAAAGGAATGTAAAGAAAAATGAAGGCCATTCACTTACTAGAAAAAAAAAGAAAAGTAAATTCATGCATCTCAAAAGCCCGAAGGCGTCATCCATAAAAGAGAACAAGAATGATGTTAAGTGTTTGGTACAAACGGGCCGAAGCCGAGAGCTATATATTGTCATTGCAACAAATCGTTCAAGGATTTACAAATACAAGATCATTCGGTGGTTTCTCCCTCGGCAACTTTGGAGGTGACCTCTTCTCCGATGGCCTCGTCACCACCGCCCTCGCCGGACCCCCCCATCATCATAGAGTCATCAATCACGGGCCTCTCTTCGCCCAGGGGGAGGGGAATTCTTACATCTGGTTGTAGAGGGGGAAGGTCGTACGCCGCCGGGTCGAATTCATCAAGAGAGACATTAAAGT